GTCTTGTTTGTTTGAAGTTGTTTAAAGACGTCAACGTCAGTCATCTATTCGGTGGATAGTAAGTTCGTTTGTCACTTCATATTTATAAAGAATTCTGCCCAAGCTGTGAGGCACTCGATCCTCGGAGGTGCGAAAGTTGTGGCCTTCTTTGTTTGAAGTTGTTTAAAGACGTCAACGTCAGTCATCTATCCGGTGGATAGTAAGTTCGTTTGTCACTTCATATTTATGAAGAATTCTGCCCAAGCTGTGAGGCACTCGATCCTCGGAGGTGCGAAAGTTGTGGTCTTGTTTGTTTGAAGTTGTTTAAAGACGTCAACGTCAATCAATTAGGCACTTACTACCCGGTGGACAATAAGTTCGTTTGTCACTTCATATTTATAAAGAATTCTGCCCAAGCTGTGAGGCACTTAATCCTCGGAGGTGCGAAAGTTGTGGCCTTCTTTGTTTGAAGTTGTTTAAAGACGTCAACGTCAGTCATCTATCCGGTGGATAGTAAGTTCGTTTGTCACTTCATATTTATGAAGAATTCTGCCCAAGCTGTGAGGCACTCGATCCTCGGAGGTGTGAAAGTTGTGGTCTTGTTTGTTTGAAGTTGTTTAAAGACGTCAACGTCAATCAATTAGGCACTTACTACCCGGTGGACAATAAGTTCGTTTGTCACTTCATATTTATAAAGAATTCTGCCCAAGCTGTGAGGCACTCGATCCTCAGAGTTGCGAAAGTTTTGGTCTTCTTTGTTTGAAGTTGTTTAAAGACGTCAACGTCAGTCAACTATCCGGTGAATAGTAAGATCGTTTGTCGCTTCATATTTATAAAGAATTCTGCCCAAGCTGTGAGGCACTCGATCCTCAGAGGTGCGAAAGTTGTGGTCTTCTTCGTTTGAAGTTGTTTAAAGACGTCAACGTCAATCAATTAGGCACTTACTACCCGGTGGACAATAAGTTCGTTTGTCACTTCATATTTATAAAGAATTCTGCCCAAGCTGTGAGGCACTTAATCCTCGGAGGTGCGAAAGTTGTGGCCTTCTTTGTTTGAAGTTGTTTAAAGACGTCAACGTCAGTCATCTATCCGGTGGATAGTAAGTTCGTTTGTCACTTCATATTTATGAAGAATTCTGCCCAAGCTGTGAGGCACTCGATCCTCGGAGGTGCGAAAGTTGTGGTCTTGTTTGTTTGAAGTTGTTTAAAGACGTCAACGTCAATCAATTAGGCACTTACTACCCGGTGGACAATAAGTTCGTTTGTCGCTTCATATTTATAAAGAATTCTGCCCAAGCTGTGAGGCACTCGATCCTCGGAGGTGCGAAAGTTGTGGTCTTCTTTGTTTGAAGTTGTTTAAAGACGTCAACGTCAGTCAACTATCCGGTGAATAGTAAGATCGTTTGTCGCTTCATATTTATAAAGAATTCTGCCCAAGCTGTGAGGCACTCGATCCTCGGAGGTGCGAAAGTTGTGGTCTTCTTTGTTTGAAGTTGTTTAAAGACGTCAACGTCAGTCATCTATCCGGTGGATAGTAAGTTCGTTTGTCACTTCATATTTATGAAGAATTCTGGCCAAGCTGTGAGGCACTCGATCCTCGGAGGTGCGAAAGTTGTGGTCTTCTTTGTTTGAAGTTGTTTAAAGACGTCAACGTTAGTCATCTATCCGGTGGATAGTAAGTTCGTTTGTCACTTCATATTTATGAAGAATTCTGCCCAAGCTGTGAGGCACTCGATCCTCGGAGGTGCGAAAGTTGTGGTCTTCTTTGTTTGAAGTTGTTTAAAGACGTCAACGTCAGTCAATTATCCGGTAGATAGTAAGTTCGTTTGTCACTTCATATTTATAAAGAATTCTACCCAAGCTGTGAGGCACTCAATCCTCGGAGGTGCGAAAGTTGTGGTCTTCTTTGTTTGAAGTTGTTTAAAGATGTTAACGTCAGTCAACTATCCGGTGGATAGTAAGTTCGTTTGTCACTTCATATTTATAAAGAATTCTGCCCAACCTGTGAGGCACTCGATCCTCGAAGGTGCGAAAGTTGTGGTCTTCTTTGTTTGAAGTTGTTTAAAGACGTCAACGTCAATCAATTAGGCACTTTCTATACGGTGGACAATAAGTTCGTTTGTCACTTCATATTTATAAAGAATTCTGCCCAAGCTGTGAGGCACTTGATCCTGGGAGGTGCGAAAGTTGTGGTCTTCTTTGTTTGAAGTTGTTTAAAGACGTCAACGTCAATCAATTAGGCACTTACTATCCGGTGGACAATAAGTTCGTTTGTCACTTCATATTTATAAAGAATTCTGCCCAAGCTGTGAGGCACTCGATCCTCGGAGGTGCGAAAGTTGTGGTCTTCTTCGTTTAAAGTTGTTTAAAGACGTCAACGTCAGTCAACTAACCGGTGGATAGTAAGTTCGTTTGTCATTTCAATTTTATAAAGAATTCTGCCCAAGCTGTGAGGCACTAGATCCTCGGAGGTGCGAAAGTTGTGGTCTTCTTTGTTTGAAGGTGTTTAAAGACGTCAACGTCAATCAGTTAGGCACTTACTATCCGGTGGACAATAAGTTCGTTTGTCACTTCATATTTGTAAAGAATTCTGCCCAAGCTGTGAGGCACTTGATCCTCGGAGGTGCGAAAGTTGTGGTCTTCTTTGTTTGAAGTAGTTTAAAGACGTCAAGGTCAGTCAACTATCCGGTAGATAGTAAGTTCGTTTGTCACTTCATATTTATAAAGAATTCTGCCCAAGCTGTGAGGCACTCGATCCTCGGAGGTGCGAAAGTTGTGGTCTTCTTTGTTTGAAGTTGTTTAAAGACGTCAACGTCAGTCAACTATCCGGTGGATAGTAAGTTCGTTTGTCACTTCATATTTATAAAGAATTCTGCCCAACCTGTGAGGCACTCGATCCTCGGAGGTGCGAAAGTTGTGGTCTTCTTTGTTTGAAGTTGTTTAAAGACGTCAACGTCAATCAATTAGGCACTTTCTATCCGGTGGACAATAAGTTCGTTTGTCACTTCATATTTATAAAGAATTCTGCCCAAGCTGTGAGGCACTTGATCCTCGGAGGTGCGAAAGTTGTGGTCTTCTTTGTTTGAAGTTGTTTAAAGACGTCAACGTCAATCAATTAGGCACTTACTATCCGGTGGACAATAAGTTCGTTTGTCACTTCATATTTATAAAGACTTCTGCCCAAGCTGTGAGGCACTCGATCCTCGGAGGTGCGAAAGTTATGGTCTTCTTTGTTTGAAGTTGTTTAAAGACGTCAACGTCAGTCAACTATCCGGTGAATAGTAAGATCGTTTCTCGCTTCATATTTATAAAGAATTCTGCCCAAGCTGTGAGGCACTCGATCCTCAGAGGTGCGAAAGTTGTGGTCTTCTTTGTTTGAAGTTGTTTAAAGACGTCAACGTCAGTCAACTATCCGGTGGATAGTAAGTTCGTTTGTCACTTCATATTTATGAAGAATTCTGCCCAAGCTGTGAGGCACTCGATCCTCGGACGTGTGAAAGTTGTGGTCTTCTTTGTTTGAAGATGTTTAAAGACGTCAACGTCAGTCAACTACCCGGTGGATAGTAAGTTCGTTTGTCATTTCATATTTATGAAGAATTCTGCCCAAGCTGTGAGGCACTCGATCCTCGGAGGTGCGAAAGTTGTGGTCTTCTTTGTTTGAAGTTGTTTAAAGACCTCAACGTCACTCAATTATCCCGTGAATAGTAAGTTCGTTTGTCGCTTCATATTTATGAAGAATTCTGCCCAAGCTATGAGGCACTCGATCCTCGGAGGTGCGAAAGTTGTGGTCTTCTTCGTTTGAAGTTGTTTAATGACGTCAACGTCAGTCAACTATCCGGTAGATAGTAAGTTCGTTTATCACTTCATATTTATAAAGAATTCTGTCCAAGCTGTGAGGCACTCGATCCTCGGAGGTGCGAAAGCTGTGGGTCTTCTTTTTTTGAAGTTGTTTAAAGACATCAACGTCAAACAATTAAGCATTTACTATTCAGTGGATTGTATGTTTTTTGCCCCTCTAACTACAAAAAGGAATTGTAGAAATATTATGTGATTCCACATAAAGTATCGTCGAATCTTAGGTCAAAATATCAATATTTCTTTCTCCTCACCTATTGATTATTCTTCGTCTATATACTAGATGACCTTTTTTAGAGTCTTGAAAAAAGGATGTAACATGTGAACGGAGTAGAAGCCTGTTGCACTATTAAAGAAAATTGAATTAAACGTTTGATTTTTTTTAAACAATTGCTTTGCCCTTTGCCTTTGAGCCAGGTGACCCTGCAAAGGACAAAGTCAAAGATGCCTACAAAATTTATTGTTTTATTGCCGTTCGTGAAGTAGGGAGGATATGATTTGAATTTAAATATATTTTGATTTAATTATTTGTTTAATTCAAAATGTTACACCCTATGGCATCTTTTCCATTACACGGTTGTTCAAACGTACGGTGTGTAAGCCGTACGGTTGAAAAAACGTGCTAGCTTGTACATGATACGGCAAAATCACCGCGCGAGACATTGGTAAGTACTGGCTAGTAGCGCTTTTTACTCGGGCTGTGTAGGACGTGCTGCGTCATGAATTTTCTTACGAAAAAAAAGATTATAGTTGCTTATTACATATATAGGAAAAAGAAAATAGAAAAAAAAGGGAAGTAAGGTTTTAGATACATCCGATTTTAGAAAAAAGGGAGGAATATGGCGCGTTTCATACACTTGTCAAGAATCAATTGAGAGAAGATGAAGACAAGTTTTACAATTATTTTAGAATGCAGAAAACTACATTCGACAACTTGCTCCAAAAAATTATCCCAGGAACTAAAACATCAAGATACTTTTATGCGAGAGAGTATATCGCCCGCAGAAAGATTGGCTGTAACTCTGAGGTAAGTAGGTACAAAATTAAATGACATATTTTAGTTTAAAATTGTTTATTGCACACAAACAAAATTATTACATGTAATTGAATTTTAATAATTATTAATTTAAGAACAAGTAAATCAAAAAATACACTACGCTGAAAATGCTACTCAAGTGCGGTACTAAAATCGAATTCGTCTTCAATAGAAACTTGAGAATCTGCCGAGATACTTTCCGCATTTACACTATGTACAGATAATTGTGATTCGGGTCGGTAGTGGATTGGCTCTAAACCAGAACCGTGTCCAAAATCATGAGAAGACGTCTGTGGACGACTTATTCCATAGCTCGATCTAGCAGCTGTAGAATATCCATATGTTGACGATTGCGCATTTGAGGATGCTGTACCACTTAAATATCCTTGATGGCCTTGATCCCATTGGTTTCTTGATGTAGGTATATACTGAGTACACTGTCTTTGTTGAATATTTTTAATTATTGAAATTACTTGAAACTGAAAGTCTATCATATTTTCATCACTGAACTTGTCAACTGTATCAGCGATTCCCATAAAAAAGTTCATACTACGGCTTTTCTTTTTCTCATCTCGTTCTGCTGAATCCATAAACTTCATAAACCTAATGTCAACTTCACTTAGTTCATTTTTTCTTTTTTTTTTAGCCCTTTGCGTCTCACTCCGTTCAGTGTATCCCGAGCTTGATTGATTCGGGACTGCACTATCAAAATTTTCATTACTGAGGCTAGAATCATGAACATGTTCAGTCATGTTAGAATCGGTCTTGCGATGCTCAACATTTTTTTTAGGAACATCATTTCATCATAGAACATATATTTTCTTATTTTTTTTTGCTGAAGAACCAGACTTACATTCATTAATTTTTTTGTCATATTTTATCCAGCTATCTTTCATATTGGTCCACTTCTTCATCACCATTTGCCCTGAAAATAAATAAATAATAATTATTAAATTCAAAATTTATGAAAACCCCCCGACCTAAACTGAATCGACCCCGACCTAAAATGGGGTTTTAGTATTTGAACCTGAACCGTTTTGTTTTATATTTCAGGTATCTAGCAACAGGAGATACCTTTACTGACCTATACTACAGCTATAGAATTGGAATAAAAACCATAAGTTGCATCGTACGTGAAGTATGCCACTACATTTGGTTAGAACTGTATAAAGAATATATGAAAATGCCATCTAAAGAAGACTGGCTACACATTGCAAGCAAATTTCAAGAATCTTCCAACTTCCCGCTGTGCTTAGGAGCGGTCGATGGAAAACACATCAGACTTATTAAGCCAATTGATAGTGGCTCGATGTTTTTAAATTACAAACATTTTTTTTCTATAGTTTTGATGGCAGTAGTAGATAGCGATTACAACTTTATATTTGTTGACGTTGGCGCCTACGGAAAGGAGTGTGATTCCAGTGTGTTTAAAGAGACCCCATTTTGGAAAAATTTAACAAACAACGGATTAAATCTACCCGATGCAACACGTTTGCCTGGAATTGACTACGATTTGCCATATGTGTTCGTTGCGGACGAAGCCTTTGCTTTGCATTATCACTTGCTTCGTCCATTTGGTGGTCATCAGCTTGATCAATTAAAACGTACATTTAACTACAGACTCACAAGAGCGCGAAGATTTGTTGAATGTGCGTTTGGCATTTTATCCAATAAATGGCGAATTTTTCACCGGCCAATGAATGTGTCCATCGATTTGGCAGTTGATATTGTGAAAACATGTTGTGTTTTGCAAAATTTTATACATAAGCAGGAAAACTTTCAGTTTCACAATGCGAGTGAAAATGAGTCCACCCTTGATTCAGAATCGGAACTAATCCAGTTACCTATCACGAATGCAGTTCGCGGAAGTTTGGCGGCTAATGAAGTTCGCAACAGATTTGCACAATATTTTGTATCTAACGAAGGTCGCCTCTCCTATCAAAACAACTATGCATAAGTAAAAAGTTAATAATTAAATATCTGTAACTTACCAAACTTGTTTTTCTCATCACCACTTAAATCTTCAAATGTGGGCTGGAAATGAATAAATATTTCTTTCCAGGAATCATATTTAAGCCGCTTATTTTTATAATCGTCGATGGTCTTATCCCATATTACAGGCCTTTCTTGAATCAACGTAATTAATAATTCTTGATTTATGTTCATTTTATAATAAAATCGCGAAACAGCGTATATAAGCGGTCACGAATCCGTGCGTACGTCCGCCACCGTCGACACACCCCGATAGACTGCCATACAACACTGGTGAAAATCACGCCGTGCGTAGACGCGGCGCGCCGAGGGGCAGTCACGGCGCACGCGGCCGCGGCGCCGTGCCTTGGCGCCACCGTGCATGTCGACAAGCTCATATAGTGATCCATACCACACTGACGACCGTGCCTACACGCGGCGAATTAACCGTAGATTTTCACGGCGAGAAACCGTGTAATGGAAAAGAGGCCTATTTCTTTCCAGACGGTAAAAAAGTCACCAGTATAGTATGCACTTCTCATCTCATCGCCTAACGTATTATTATAGGATAAATTCCCTAAATCGCAATTCTTGACGGTCTGATTGGTTATCGAAGTACGAAACGCCCCGTATCTTAATAAATGCTGCTCCTTGTGATCGATATTAATACCGGTTTATAAGATTTTTTTCCTGGCATATTATAAAACGTAAGGGCTATGTAGAGCGATCTAACTTTATACATTAAGGGCTGATAACAAGAAAAACCATCACAGTCATTTAACTTGTCAGTCAAACAGATGTTTTTCTTCAGTACCAAGCACGTGGTAAATTAACACTGAAAATTGCAATAAAAATCTCATTGGTGGTCTAACTCTTCACACATACTGTGAAATTTACAGCGAGCTCATAGGCTCTGAGCTACCACGGCTCTATAATTTAACCACTAAATTCATGTAAAAGCAGACTACGCACGATTTCCAATATTTATAACAGACGATGATATTGGATGTAAACGAACGTATTGACTTGTCAGTTACCTGCCTCCATCTATGCATGGCACTGACTCCAGACAAATTGGATTTCTTTGTACATTTGACATAGAACAAATCAAAGCAATGGGTGAGGCTTTGATTATTTATTTGTCTTGATTATGCATTTGACGTTCGAAAACGTCTTCAGAAACTAACTACTAAAGCAAGAAGACTTTTTGCTGTATAAAAAATTAAAATTACAGCCTATATATATCCCGCTTAGGGCACAGGCCATCTCTCAATACTGAAAGGGTTTTAGAGCAAGAAAGTGTGCGTCGCGCTGGCCCAATGTGTGTAAGCTCCCTTCACATGTCTTTGACAATTTTTTTCTTATTTCTCAAACATGCAAGTTTCTTCACGACGTTTTCCTTCACCGTTGAGCACGTGGTAAATCAGCACTAAAATTGCAATTAACAATTTAATTGGTGCCGGCGGGGATCGAACCAGGGTTGCTCGCGTACTGCAAAATTTATAGCGAGCGCTAACCATCTGAGCTACCTCGGCTCTGCTGCAGGGCTTGCCGTATGACAGTGTAATTTGAACTATTTACAGTTATTATGTTTACGGAAAAATTATTACTTACATTTGTGTAATTAACTTAAAAGTGGGGTACTTTTAATATCGTTTAAATTTAACCCATTTATTAGAAATGTACAGTATACCGTAAAACAAATATACATTGTAACAAATCAAATGAAAAAATTAGTTGGACCCTGCAGGCAATCCCTGGAACATCCCGCTAATTTCAAATGCAAAGCGCTCCAAATTTCAGAGTAATTAAAAAAGTCCGCGACCTCATACTGCACACTAGACGGCCTCCACGTTATGAGAGCTGGGGTTGAAATCTCTCCGTTATCCGCCGTATTAGACAGACCTTGCGCCTACAGACATCTACTTTTTCCAGAATTTGGTTAACTTATCGGCGGAAAACAATGCAATACTCGAAAGACAGTAGAAAATGCCTTTAAAGAATTTATTGCTTCCTGTCCAAGTGATTTCTTCAAGAAGGGCATAAATAAACTGCCACTGCATTGGCAAAGATGCATCGATGGCATGGGTGATTACTTTAATTAAATAAATAACAAATATAGAAAAAAGTTAAGTTGACTTATTTCATAAAAATGGCAATTTCATAGGTAACGATCTAATATTTACTTCTCATTGAACTTAAAAAAGGAACTGTGATAACGGTCGTGTTGCTTCGGATTTGTTTACCAACACAGGCCGATCACAATACACAATACGCGGGTCGGTCGAGCGACTAATCCAAGTTTGAACCTATGAAATTGTTATATTTTGTTTTGAGTTGTGTTGTGTGAGCTTAGTAGTGACAGACAATTGTTCCTGTGTGCGCAGATTTACCCCCCCCCCCCCCCCCCGCAAAAATGACTGATAGCTCTGTATCAGGACAAAACACTATGGATACTCCCTCCGGTCCGCCAGTGGCCAATATTAAATCATTATTATCTAATAATCCTTTGCATCTAACCTAAATTAGCGCGCCACTCCACCCGATGGTAAGTTGATGCTGTAGCCCATAGACATCCACATTTATCCTCAATTAAGAATCAATATGCAAATGCGTTGTCACCCTCAAGGGATTATGATGGAATGCCTTTTGTCGAAAGGCTTTTCAGTTTTCTTAATTTTCATATTTTGGAACACTAATATTTTCATGTGAATAATAAATTATAGACATCTCATTTGAAACAAAATGTTTATAAAGTGACGTATTTTTGTATAATAATTTATCATCCATTCGTTAATCTGTTCGAGGACAAAAATATTGTTCACGGCGAGCAATAGATGGGGCTTCTCCTTTGAACAAGAATAATAAATTATATTATTTGAAAGACTGATGAATGATTCCAATGAATGATAATTTGGTTTGTATGCAGCTGAAATATTTAATTATTTTGGTTTAGGGAAAACTATAAGATTAATAAGATTAACAAAGGTTACAGCCTATATATATGTCCCACTGCTGGGTACAGAGCTCTTCTCATTTCTGAGAATGTTTTAGGGCAACAAAATGTCCGTCTCGGTGTCCAAATGAGTGTTGGTGAACTTCACATGTCTTCGAAATATTTTTTCTTTTTTCTCAGACGTGCAGGTTTCGTTACGATGTTTTCCTGCACCGCCGAGCACGTGGTAAATTAGCACTTAAAATTGCAATTAACAATTTCATTAGTGCCGGCGGGGTTGGAACCCGGGTTACTCGCGCTCTGTTATATTTACAGCGAGCGTTAACTATCTGAGCTACCACGGCTCCAAGCCGAGCACGTGGTAAATCAAAAACAATTAAAATTAAGAATTTCATTGACGCTGGCGGGGTTCGAACACGCGTTGCTCGCTTACTGTGAAATTTACAGCGAGCGCTCAGCCCCTGAGCTATCACAGAAGATTAATATTATATATATATATATATATATATATATATTTTTTTTATATATATATGTATATATATTCTAATTAAGATGATGCTTTGTTTATGGTAAAGAAATATTTAAAATCTATCAAGTAATTATAAAACGTATTAATTTCAACGGACATCCTTGCGCAAATGACACATGATAAGAGAGGCAGCTATAACGACGCCATTTTGATGCCAAGATTGCATTAAGTTCGTCCACCCCTAAAATTGTCCCTCATTAACCCTCAGGCGGGGTTTAGAACTTGATGGAAAAGGGACCTTCGCACAAAATTATATGCTCACGATTATTTATATATTATGCCATAAATAAGATATGCAAAGTTTATGTTATGCGTTACAAGAATATTATTTAATATTGTCTAAATGGTTACCAGGTAGGCTTTTTTCAATTTATGTATTTATGATTTCAGGTTGATATTTTTTTGTAAAAGTGAAACGAAAAACGTACTTACAGTCCACTTGATGAAAAGTGGTTACTGTAATCGATGGACTTCTGCAGCCAGCTTCAAAAATAAGGCTCTCTGTAGCCTTATTTTTGTTGTTTACTCTCTGCGTTGTCACCTCTGAAAGCTAATATGGAGTGGCTCAATACCTGTAAGTATACTAGCTCTTTATACCATTTAGACCAGAACACTGCAGTACAAAGCTGCTGTTTGGTGAAAGAAAGAAAGAAAGAGGGGTTTCCCTATCCCAACGGACTCCCAAGCAGAAGGGGCTCCTACCACCTTTTGCGGCGCCATCTATTGTTTGTTGGAACTACTAAGTTTCTAGAAAACTCAATTTTCTTGTATCTAATTTATTGTGATTCTGTTTTGTTACTACACACAATTTATTGCATTTACTTGTTGTACTGTGTCGCATTTGTTACTATTCATTTTAAACCTGAATACAGTTGTAATCAGACGAAATCTACATTTTATATCTAAATCCATCTAAATTCATTTACATTAATTCGCTAATGAATTAACATTGACGACCGTGACAGGACTAAATAATTTGTGTCCAAAAAGTTTTCTTGTACTATGCGCATACTGCGCAAATGAACCGATTTTTATTCTATTAAAATATTTCATTTTGAAATAATACTAGTTTTTACGGAATTTATCGCGTATATTTAACTTTTTAATACCCGACGAAATACCCGAATAAATTTTAATCTATGGTAACCGCGGTTAACTATGACATCTGGACGTTGAACATCTCAGTCCTTCCCGTGACCATGGGTGGTCGTCGGGTATTAAAAAGTTAAATATACGCGATAAATTCCGTAAAAACTAGTATTATTTCAATGTTTTATTTTGGTTGGAAGTAAATAAAAACCATTATAATTTGTAATCTTATTTTATTTTGTTCGCCTGCCTTAATGGTAGAATTTTTTTGACATTATATATTATATAATGTCAAAAAAAAATCGAATTCTAAATATATAATGTCGAAAAAATTCGTTATACGAAAATATTCAATATTTATATGCATAAATTATATATTATGACTTTTCCATATATAATCAAACAGATATATAATCCCTAGCAGATGTTTTTTGCAAAAAGTTTTTATAATAAAACAACGTGACTCAGCGAGTACAAGAACGAACAGAACTGTATTTTCAAAAGACAAAAGTAAAGAATCACATAGACAACATTTGTTCACACTTTGGTACGAGATGTCGCTAGTAGTAGGTACATAATTTATATTTTGCTATTTATAATACTCCCACTCAAAATATAGAC